ATTCGACAGCAATTCGGCTTCAACACCCTCGAAAACCATATAAATGACATCCATGATGAAAAAATTGGTACCTACTTCAGCCGCTATCTTGGATTTCCAATTCGACAGCACTATCGGCTTCAACACCCTCGAAAACCATGACAGTGACACCCATGATGAAAAAGTTTATACCTATTGCAGCCACCACCTTGGATTTCCATTTCGACAGCAATATCGGCTTTAACACCCTCGAAAACCATATAAATGACACCCATGATGAAAAAGTTTATACCTATTGCAGCCGCCACCTTGGATTTACATTTCGACAGCACTATCGGCATCAACACTCGCGAAAACCATATAAATGACACCCATGATGAATTAGTTGGTACCTACTTCAGCCGCCATCTTGGATTTACATTTCGACAGCACTATCGGCTTTAACACCCTCGAAACCCATGAAAACGACACCAATGATGAAAAAATTGATACCTATTGCAGCCGCCATCTTGGATTTACATTTCGACAATATAATTGCTATATATGATTTCATTCGATAAAACGTTGGAATCTTAATTTTGCCGCCATCTTGGATTTACATTTCGACATCACTATCGGCTTCAACACCCTCGAAAATCATGAAAATAACAGCCAAGATGAAAAAATTGATATCTATTGCAGCCGCTATCTTGGATTTCCATTTCGACAGCAATATCGGCTTCAACACTCGCGAAAACCATGAGAATGACACCTATGATGAAAAAATTGGTATCTGCTTCAGCCGCCATCTTGGATTTACATTTCGAAAGCACTATCGGCTTTAACACACTCGAAACCCATGAAAATGACACCCATGATGAAAAAATTGATATCTTTTGCAGCCGCCATTGTGGATTTACATTTCGACAGCACTATCGGCTACAAAACCCTCGAAAACCATGACAGTGACACCCATGATGAAAAAATTTATATCTATTGCAGCCGCCATCTTGGATTAACAATTCGACAGCACTATCGGCTTCAACACCCTCGAAAAACCATGAAAATTACACCCATGATAAAAAAAGTTGTATCTTATTTAGCCGCCATCATGGATTTACATTTCGACAGCAATATCGGCTTCAACACCCTCGAAAACCATATAAATGACACCCATGATGAATAAATTGATACCTATTGCAGCCGCCATCATGGATTTAAATTTCGACAGCACTAACGGCTTCAGCACCCTCGAAAACCATGAAAATAACACCCATGATGAAAAACTTGATATCTATATAGCCGCCATCTTGGATTAACATTTCGACAACCCTTTTGGCTTCAATTCTCTCGAAAACCATGAAAATTACACCCATGAAAAAAAAAATTGATACCTATTGAAGCCGCCACCTTGGATTTACATTTCGACAGCACTATATACTTCAAAACCCTCGAAAACCATGAAAATGACACCCAAGATGAAAAAATTGATATCTAATTCAGCCGCCGTCTTGGATTTACATTTAGACAGCACTATCGGCTTCAACACCCTCTAAAACCATGAAAATGATACCCATGATGAAAAATTAATACATATTGCAGCCGCCACCTTGGATTTACATTTCGACAGCAATATCGGCTTCAACACCCGCGAAAACCATGAGAATGACACCCATGATGAAAAAATTGATATCTATTGCAGCCGCCATCTTGGATTTACATTTCGACAGCACTTTTGGCTTTAACATCCTCGAAAACCATGAAAATGACACCCATGATGAAAAAATTGGTACCTTATTCAGCCGCCATCATGGATTTACATTTCGACAGCACTATCGGCTTCAACACCCTCGAAAACCATGAAAATGATACCCATGATGAAAAAATTGATATCTATAGCAGCCGCCATCTTTGATTTTCATTTCGACAACCCTATTGGCTTCAACTCTCTCGAAAACCATGAAAATGACACCCATGATGAAAAATTGATATCTATTGCAGCCGCCATCTTGGATTTACATTTCGACAACCCTATCGGCTTCAGCACACTCGAAAACCATGAAAATGACACCCATGATGAAAAATATGGTACCTACTTCAGCCGCTATCTTGTATTTACATTTTGACAGCACTATCGGCTTCAGTACCCTCGAAAACCATGAAAATGACACCCATGATGAAAAAATTGATATCTATTGCAGTCGCCATCTTGGATTTACATTTCGACAACCCTATCTTCTTCAAATCTCTCGAAAACCATGAAAATGACACTCATGATGAAAAAATTTATACCTATTGCGGCCGCCATCTTGGATTTACATTTCGACAATATTATAATTGCTATATACGATTTTATTCGATAAAAGGTTGGAATCTTAATTTTTCGCTTAAGGCATGCAATATACACGCATTTTTATAAAGTAAAGGTAGTGACAAACTAGCAAGGTCTGATAGTATGTGGATGCTATGCTCTTGATTAAGAATCAAAATGCATTGTCATCCTGAGGACTAAGATGAATTGTCTCATTATTTTATTTAAAGAAGAAGAAGATAACTATAAATTAAGAACTAAAAATGTATTTCCGTCAAAGGTGGTGCAACCGTTGTCAAAAAAAAAAATATCGTAGTATTATTATATTCTTACGACTACAGCATCGTTATTCTACAATTTCAACTAATATTTTGTGCAACCGTCGTTCTTTTCCAGTAAAGAGCTAAGCTAAGAGCTAAGCAGCTGGAGGTGTCCATGGGCTGCAGTAGCCACTTAACATTAAATTTTCTGCCATCTGCAACCAAAGCAATGCTTGTTCAAAGCTTAATTTTTCCCCTAATCGACTATGGTGATGTGTGTTATTTCGACCTGAATGCAGATCTTCTCAATAAATATGACCGTCTTCTGAATAACTGCATTCGATTCATTTTCAATCTTCGAAAGTATGACCATGTATCCACGTATCGATCTCAATTAAAATGGTTACCTATTCGTCAACGCCGTAGTTTGCATGCACTCACTACCCTTTATTCTATCCTGATGTGTCCAACTTCCTGTTCCTACTTATCTCCATACTTTCAGTTGCTTAGCGCTAGTCATGAGAGAAACCTCCGCTCTACGAACAACCTTCTTCTCCTATGTCCCTCCCATAGCTCGGGACTTGTTCATTCTTCTTTCCACATTCAATCTATTCTCCTTTGGAACGCACTACCTCTCGAAATCAGGACGGCTAGAAATCGTTACGCGTTCAAGATGAAGGTTCGGGAATACTTAACTAATAAATTGGCAGATTCATCATAGTAATAGTTTATATACATTTTATATATAAATATATATATTTTATTTGATTATGTCTATAATTGTATATCTTCATGAGTTTACATACATCTGACGTTTTAATATGTACTTAAGTAATATACATTTTTATTATCTTATTATTTTTATCATAATTTATTTTATAAGTATATATATATATATATATATATATATATATATATATATATATATATGTATATATATATATTTTATATATTATATATATATATATATTATATTTTTTATTAACATTTATATCTTATGTATTTTATTTCGATGTGCTACAATTTTTTTTTTGTTATTTTAGTTTAGTATTAACATATTACCTTGTTATTACTCCTACGTCATTATATCTCTGCATCATCCCAAGGTAGACTGGTAGAGAATGCCTTAGGCATTAAGTCCGCCTATATACTACATGTGTATATGAAGTTTTAAATAAATAAATAAATAAATAAATAAACATTATGTGAACTGTAAATTCGTTTGTCACTTTGGTTTTGTAAAAATATGTACAAAACTGAAAACTTAATAATGGATTAACACTGAAAAATATTTTCGAGAGAGTATAGATTGATTGACATTGTTACTAGGAAACATTTTTAATTTAAAGGTTTTCCCCGCACGAAGTTTCAACATTGTGCTATGCAATGCTTTTAATTAATAAATGGGAAGTATACGTGAGAGAAAAACAAATCGTGTTTATTGAAATACCGTGTCATAAAGTAAGCTTAACATGGAACTTTGAAACTTTGCAACTTAAAATAGAGACACACAAATTAATATTTCGTTTGCAAATTCTGTGCGTTACACCTATTACTGTGTCTTTATAGACCATAAACCCTCTTAAATATAATATATAAACTGGAAACAGAATGAGTTTCTTTTACCGTAACAGCCTATTAACGTCCAATGCTGAACATATGCCTCCCCCATAGATTGCCTCATAGTGGAGATATTTGTTATAGTTTCCACGCTTGAAAAACGGTACGGCAACCTAAGTTTTTAATTTCTAATCGTTATAAGGAAAATGTTGCTGCCCACCTTCTGATTTGTTTTCCTCTGACGCCTCTTATGATACCCACGGGATGTTAAGGGGTAGTGCATATCCTTACACCGCTACTACACGGTAAAGTTACTAAGTTTCTTTTGGGCCAAAATAAACTTAGTAATTCACACGCAATATAAAATTATTGGATGTATAAAACTGAGGTAAAGCAACATCATATATTTTCGTATATTATATTGAAGGTATAGCTGTAGTAAATATCAATATAAGGTAAAGTATGGTAATTCAAAGGGAATCTTATAGTGTGGATTTTACAGAGATTTTAATATAGTACTATTATCACCTAATTAAAGATGTTACTTACATATCAGGCTAACAATAAATATTGTGGAAATTATTCACTTTATTTTGAACTAAAAATTACAACGCAACACTTAAATAAAATCAATGGGCTTAAACTATATCTCCTTTTAACCCATTTAGTGCTCAACACTCGGATCCGAGTGGGGAGGGGGCATAGTAGCGGTGCCGACCACTCGGATACGAGCGAGCGGCCCGTGTGTTTTGTAGTCGTTAGTAAGCCGCCGGCGTTTGAGGCGAGTTTATGTTAGTTTGCGCGGCCACTCTGACAACATATTCAACTTACCAAAACGCGTATTGGTTTCATTCTAACAGTGTAATTGTGACTTGTACACACGATCGTATCAAAGCTATTTTTGCACTAAAATGGAAAGTAAGGCTGGACCGTCAGGAAGTAAATCTACGAATAGTTCAAGAAAAAAGCGTCGGCATAGTGATGAGTATGAGTCTGACTATAGTGATGAGGATGTGTATTCTCAAAGAGCTGATGAAGACTCTTCAAGTTCAGAGGTCTCGTCTAGTTGCGGCAGTGATGATAGTATCTTTGATACTAGACTGAAGCAGAAGACGACCAGCCGTGTACCACCAGCTCAACCTTCAAGGTTATCTGCCCTAAAGACGACAAGCCCTATACCACCAGCTCAACCTTCAAGGTATGACTAACTAAGGACTATGTATCTGATAAGAACGCATGACATTAAATTAATTTAACTCAATAATAACAGTAAATTGTACTTAATTTCATTTCATTTTATTTCAAGATCACCTGCCTCAAAGACGACCAGCCGTGTACCACCAGCTCAACCTTCAAGTTCATCTGCATCAAAACGTGGTTTATGTGTGTCAGATGGAAAGCCTATTATTCAATGTAAGCGATTAAGACCTACATTTAGGGATGGCCCCACGCGTAATAATTCTGCTCAATCGTGGAAGTTACCAGATCCAAATAGTTCCTCAGCATCGAAGCCTTCGCCTCGACAACTGGAATTTGATGGAGACGGTAGCTTTGAATTCAATTATGAAATTGACTGCCGTCCTACATCGCCGAATATCGTACAGGACTATGGAGATTTTTTCCCGGATATACCAGATAGCTGTCTATTAAACCCTACCTGTTCAACACCTAACGTATCTCTTCTGAGATCCGATGCGATCACCACCAACCTTTCACCAGAACGTAATGACGCCTCTCCATCAATTCTGGCTGTTCGGAGATCTGGAAGTAGTACTCCGGACTTACCAGATAATTATTATCTATCACCCAATAACTCACCCTCTGGTCAAGGAGCCACTACCACCTGGAGCAGTGATCCAAGCTCCATGAAAAACATAGAGTTTACTAAGGAACAGGAACTCTTAGTGCCGCCTCCAACTGATCCTTACGAAGCATTCCGAATATTGATTGATGACGAGTTGTTAGATCTTATAGTTCGCGAGACCAACGCGAACGCAATAAGAGTCGGTAATGCACAAAACGTCAAACAAAACTCCAGAATAAAATCTTGGAAAGATTTAACAAAGGAAGAACTGTTGACATTTTTAGGACTCCTTCTTCACACAGGAACAATTCGATTAAACCGTTTAAGTGATTATTGGAAACGACACTATTTGTTTAATATTCCATGCTTCGGACAATTCATGGCACGAAATCGTTTTCTACTGATTTTACGGTGCCTACACTTTACGCCTGAATCCAGTGAAGAAGACCGTCTCAATAAAATCCGACCATTTATGGATCATTTTAACAATAAAATGAAAACTATTTATTGTCCAGGTAAAGAGCTATCATTGGATGAGTCCATGGTATTGTGGCGCGGTCGGTTGCTGTTCCGACAATACATAAAAAACAAACGTCATAAATATGGCATTAAACTCTATGTTTTAGCAGAACCAGATGGTACGGTTTTAAAATTTCTAGTTTACGCCGGTGCTAATGATAAGACATCAGGGCAAGGACATAGTAGTAAGATTGTGTTCAAACTACTAGAAGAGAGACTGGACTGTGGCCATCATGTATATATGGATAATTACTACAATTCTTATGGCCTGGCTGTGAAATTGCTAAATCGACAGACGTACTGCACAGGAACGTTAAGAAAAAACAGGAAAGATAATCCCGTCGAAATTGGCTCTGTTTCACTGGAAAAAGGAGAAAACAAATCCTTGTTCTTAAACGGCGTTTATGTCGGAAAATGGAGGGATAAGCGACACGTTCTGTATATTTCTACAGAACATGGTAGTGAGATGATGGAGACTACTTCCAAAAGGGGATCTGAAGTAATGAAACCAATGGCAATCGTCCATTACAATAATTTTATGTCGGGCGTTGATCTTCAAGATCAGATGTTGGCATACTATCCAGTCCAAAGGAAGACGCTGCGTTGGTACAAGAAGCTGTTTGTGCATATGCTGCAAATGAGCCTCACTAATGCATTGCACTTGTACAATAAATTTTCGGCCAATGATAAATTAAATCTATATGATTTCCGTATGAAGATACTGGAAAAGCTTTTACCTGATCCTAATGACGTCAATCGACGCAATGTTTTGAAAGTGAAACACGAACTCACTAAAATAGAAAAGACCCGGACGAGACTTAAGACAGTAGGAAGTGTCACGAAAGAAACTATCGAAGTGGCCCGAAAAGAATGCAAAGGTTGCAAAGCACAAAAAAAAAGGGTGCAAACAATTTATGAATGTAAGCAATGTGAAGGTTATCCAGGTTTCTGTACAAAATGCTTCTGCCTAGTACATTCCTAAGTGTTTTAAATTACATGATTATTGTTTTAAATTTCATTATTATTGTGTTATGTCAAGTGGTTAAAATTTTCTTGTTTTCGGATTATTTTTTATCACTTCTACCTTTCTGTGAGTGACTCACCTTTATTCTATGACAAGTATTCAATTAAACTTATAATTATTATGTACTTGATACTTTTGATTCTATGGCTTTGATTTGATTTTTGATAATTATGATTGTATCGCTCAGATTTATGAATGTTTTTCTTAATAAATAATTATTCAAATGCGTATTTTATTTTATTTACTATCTATAGCCTAGTTTACTTAGGGATAATGTAGCTTTTGAATGATAAAAGAATTATCGAAATCTGTGCAGTAGTTTTATTTCAACCATTGTTGTCCCTAGCGCTCGGATCCGAGTGACCGGCACCTGGCGCGCTATGTGCCGAACACTCGGATCCGAAAAAGGTTATTTTTTATTAAAAGAATAATAATAACAATTTACTTTTATCCATATTTTTAAACATACATATATACATAATCAAAATACGCTTTAAAAAAATTTGGTTCCTGGCTAATTATTTTAATAATATCTTAAGCAGTGAATGTGTTAAGTTAGAGGTTGGATCTTAGTTTTTAAGAGATGACGATATACGAGTAGCAATCTTGTTAACTTGAGAATACTTGTGACGGGAAACGTTGTAAAAGAAGTGGGACGTCAGATCCACCTGCCAAGCGTGACGATTATCACAAATCATTCATTAGCAAGTCCAACTCCCTACAACGGAAGCCTCTCCCGTTGTAGAGAGTTAGACTTGCTAATGAAGAAGAATATAATATTAGAGTCGTATGTTTAAACAATACAGCTTAAGACGCAAGTCTCAAACTAAGATGAATGGACAATTTGTTAATATATTTTTTTTATAGAAGAGGGGATAAACGAGCATGCGCTCACCTGATGCTAAGTGACTACCGCCACCCATGAACAACCGCAACACCAAGGGAATTGCAGATGCATTGCCGGCCTTTTAGAAAGGTGTAAGCTCTTTTCTTGAAGATTCCTAGGTTGTATCGGTCCGGAAAATTTGCTGGTGGTAATTGATTCCACAAGGAAGTTGTGCGAGGGAGAAAACTTCTTTTAAATCGCACAGTGGTGGACCGCCAATCATCCAGATGGTATGGATGGTAACGCGAGTTTTGTCGCGATGTGCGATGGTAAAATTGAGCGGCTGGAATTAGTCCGAACAATTCCTCAGAGCACTCCTCGTGATAGATGCGATAAAATATGCAAAGAAATGCAACATCTCTACGCAGTGCCAGTGTATCAATCCGATCAGAAAGAACTCAGTCGTCGACGATTCAAACCGCTCTGCGCTGGATGCGGTCAAGTGGAAGGAGCTGGCACTGGGGTGCCCTGGCCCAGAGATGAGAACAGTATTCCATGTGGGGCCAAACTTGCGCTTTGTAAAGTTGCAAACGATGTGCCGGCATGAAATACTGTCTCGCTCTGCTGAGCACGCCAAGCTTTTTAGAGGCCAATTTGGCCTTCCCTTCCAAGTGATCATGAAACGGCACACTATTCGATATGTCGACGCCAAGGATTCCGATACTAGCTGAGGCAGCAAAGGAAGTGCCTTGAAACTGAGGAGATACGACAAAGGGGTTCTTTTTAGCGGTAGGTTTTCCCAAGAAATATTGGCACGGCCGGTATATAAGGCATCACCAGTGCTGTCGTCCGCATAGCAATGAATGCTACCAGTTTGCAACATATCATTGATATGCAGGAGAAACAGCGTTGGTGATAGCACGCAGCCTTTTGGAACACTAGCATTGATAGGTTGAAGTCAGAACATGCACCGTCTACTACGACCTTGATGCTCCGATCAGCAAGGAAACTGGTGATCCATTTGCACAATTTCTCGGGAAGCCCATATGAAGGAAGCTTCGAAAGAAGCGCTTTGTGCCAGACCCGATCCCAGGCCTTCGCTATGTCCAAACTAACGGCAAATGCCTCCCCCTTGGACTCTACTGCCTCCGCCCATCTATGAGTCAGATACACTAGAAGATCACCAGCTGATCGACCCCGACGAAAACCGTACTGGCGGTCACTAATCAGCTGGTGATCCTCAAGGTACCTCATGAGCTGGCAGTTTATAATCGATTCCATTATTATGGAGAACAAGGAGGTGATGGCGATAGGCCTGTAGAAGGGCGGTTCTGAGCGGTCGCCTTTTTTAGGGATCGGGTGGACCAAAGCTGTCTTCCATGAATTCGGGACTACGCCTTGGGAGTAGGAGTACCGGGAAAAACGCGTTAAAACCAGTGCCAACTCCGGAGCACACGCCTTCAGCACAATGGGAGGGACTCCATCAGGCCCATCAGGGCCACACGACTTGCTGATGCTGGACATCAGAGGAGAAGAGTGCTTTGCGAACCAAGCGCTGTGTAAACCTTACATCCGGCATAGAGCACTCACATCGCGGGATGGTCGGCGGTGTGTTTCCCCCGTCATCTAGAGTCGAGTTGGTCGCAAAGAGAGAGCTCAACAGATCGGCTTCCTCCTTTGCGGCATGGGCCAGTGAGTTGTCCTCTCTGTGCAGAGGTGGAAGAATGGCTGACAGAATTTTCCTTGTACAGCCTTGGCGAGAGACCAGAATGCACGGGTTCCCGAAGGAAAGCAAACTAGCTTCTCGCCAATTCTTCCAATGTGCTCAGACCTTGCCTTGGCAATGACGCTTTTGAAGGACCTGGAGGCGGAGTTATACTTGGCGCTGGTGTTTACATCCCGAGACGTAGACGCATTAGCCCAGGCCCAGTAGCACTCCTGCTTATCGGCAACAACGCTGGAATCTTCCGGCGAGAAGCAAACCCGCCACCAAGGGTAGGATGCAAAAAAAGACCGCATCCAGTCCCAATCAGCTGACCTATAGTGCCAAACACGGCGGCAAGCTGCAGATCGCAAATGCGATTGGAGCGTGAGTGGCACCGTACTCCGGATCAGACAATGGTCCGAAGAGCCCAGAGGGGCATCGACGGAGACGTGATATCCGTCCGGATGAGAGGTCAGCAGAAGGTCCAACATGGAAGGTAGATGGCCGTCCACATCTGGGATCCGCGTAGGCGAAGTAACCAGTTGTGTTGGACCATATGCCAAACAGACAGACAGATCTACCCGCATGATTGGTTAAACGAGAACCAAGCCATTCAGCGTGGTGGGCGTTAAAATCACCGAGTATCACGATCTTTGCGGATGGGACCTATTGTAGCACAGAGTCTGCAGCCATTTGGACGTGGTCGATGAGTCGGTCTGTGTCGGCAGTACCGCAATGGGACCTATAGAGGCACCCGTAGACGCGGGGATGGTCGTCGCTGTCTACGTGCAGCCATAGGATGGACAGGTCCGTACCTTGAAGACTGCCGAGGCGTGGACAGACGTCCTCTCTGACGTATACGCAAACTCCAGCCCGGGACACAAAGGCGTGTTCCAATTTGTATCCCAGGTAGGAGAGATATGAAGTATCAGCCGAAAAGGACACCTGAGTCTCGGTTAAAAAGAGCAAGGCCGGATTCACCGTCTCTAGATGGTTATGGACAGCGTTAAGGTTGGAATGAAATTATTGTTAAATTCAATAGGTAAGGACATATACCCTAAGCAATGCAATCTCGTACCATCAGCAGTTCTCACGTAGTGCTCAGTGTCAAACCAGTTGAGTTGCAAAAATTCACGGATAGCGTGACAGGGTTCGCCTTGGTTGTATTGCTCCGCTTGCCCCGAGCAGCATTAGTCACGAGCGGAATTTTGCCCCCCCCCCCCCCCCCCAGAATACGCGGGACAGCTTGAGCACCCACGCTCAGGAGTGAAGTAGTTTGGTCGTGGATGCTCATGTTGATGGGGGGAGGGGGGGGGGAATTGGGCCTCTGGCCACCTGCAGTCACCAAGCGCAACGCAGAGGTAAACCTCTACTTCACGCTGGTATTCTGTGAGGTCTTGGTATCACCCAGGTTCGAGCTGGTATTATCTCAATGTTTATCCAAGTAACAAATATTTTTTACTATGTAGCACGAACATTTTCGTGTACATTATTTTAGCATATCTACGTTATTACATGCGATGAACAGACTTCAGAGCGCCATTTAACGTCATTAGTCCGAAGTAACTAGAAACGTATATTGACGAATCGAGCTAGCTAATTGCATGCAATTGACCTTTCGTGTTAGTTCGAAATCCTACCACGGATCGACGGTGGCGTGTAGCCCAAGGGAGGCCTAGTTCTTTTTGGAGCGAGCCGTTGTAATGATCGGACACGCACATATATAATTTTTGAATCGAAACGCCGGAACATGAATTTAAAGTGACGACTACTTGGGCGTACGGCCCCTTAAACACATTGTCTACGGGCAGTTTAATGTGTTGAAACACAACATCCCATAAATTGGGTCCTTAGTCCTTAGTCCTTAGTCCTTAGTCCGTACTTTGAGTATGGTCCATTATCAAGTTCAACAATGTGAACGAGGCGAGGCAGCTTCAACGGGTGGCTATATTGGGACTGGGCGGCCAGGAGACCGCGACCGGCGTACACCTGGAGGATATCTGTTGCCTCACTGCTTCGCGGGATTGACCATAAACAGTGTAATATTGTGTAATCCCCCAGGTTAGTCAAAACCTCAGTTCGTAGGGTATTTTAAAGTGAAAACTTGATATTTGGAGCTATATATGTGAACCGTTGAAGGAAATAAACTACTTTTTGTCTGTATATGTAACTTAGCATTTTCATTTACTAATCATCCAACAACAGGCGCCCTGGGATACTTTTATTTTGATCCTCGTGTCCCTTAACTCTCCGACAACCGTAGCCGGTGAGTAACGCCCTAAAAAGTGTTATAAAGTGGCTACCCAACGTTGAACCTTAAGTTGCTGGATGTTAGTAGATGAATTAACCTTAATTGTAACTATTTAAGCTGTTAAAAATCCATTTAATATGAAAACTTAGTGAAATTTAATGTTAACATTTTTTTTT